TAAATAAAATAAAGGAAGGTATGTTGCATGTGAAATGATGGTAAGTATTAAAGAGGAGTTTAAAGCAAGAAAGGGGAATAGAGAATGTGAGTGGAGATGGGTTATAAGTGACCTGATCTGACTTGTGTTTTAAAAGGAACATTCTGGCTGCTGTGCTGAGAATAGACTCTAAGGAGACAGGAGCAGAAGCAGAGAGACCAGTCAGGAGACTCTTTCCATAATCCAGGAGAGGGATGATGATAGATAGACCAGGATGGTAGCAGTGGAACTATGGGGAAAAGCGGTTGGATTCTGGATATACTTTGAAGGTAGAGCCAAAAGGATTTGCCAATGGATTAGATGTGGAGTGTGAGAGAGAGGAGTTAAGGGTGACTCTTAAGGTTCTTGGCCTGAGAAACTAGAAGAATGTAGTTGCTATGTACTGATACAGATGGGGAAAACTGGAGGAAAAGTAGGTTTGGGGAGTATATCAGGAGCTCAGTTTTGGATCATGAGTTCGAAATGCTTAATGGACATCCAGATGGAGATATCAAGTAAGTTGAATGTAAGATATAAACAAGTCTGGATTTCGAGGAGAGGTTTAAACTGGAGATAAATTGGAAATGGAGAATTGTCAGCCTCTAGATGGGACTAAATCTCACCCGTGGGACTGGATGAGGTCATCAAGGCAGTAAGTGTAGATATGAAAGGAGACTCAAATATTGAGCTTGCAGCTCCAGCATTTCAAGAATGGGAAGATGAGAAGGAACCAGTAAAGGAGGCTGGAAGGAAAAGCTAGAGAGGTAGAAGGAAAACAAGGAGATTGTGATTCCAGGAAGCAAAGCAAAGAGGGGTTTCAGGATCAGCTGTACGAAATGCTGCTGATGGGTCAAGTCAAATCTGCAAATTGATCTCTGGACTTAGCATTGTGGAGGTCATTGGTGACTTAGGTAAAAGCAATTTTGTGTGGAGCAGTGGGTTAAAGCCTGACTGGAGAATGGGAGGAAAAACCTTGAAGACAGTGAGTGTATACTCCGGAGGAGTTTTACTGAATAGGTAGGGAAAGAAATGGTGTGGTATTTGGAGGGGAAAGTGGGGTCAAGAGACTTTTTTAAGCTAGAGGAAATAACAGATGTTGGTTTGCCAATGAGAATGATCTAGTAGAGAGAGAAAAATTGATGATGCAGGAGAGATGGGAAGGTTGCTGGAGTGATAACCTGTGTAAGTGAGAGGTGATGGGATCAAGTGCCCAGGTGGAAAGGCTGTGGTTGGCCAGGATCACAGACAGTTCACCATAGCAATGGGAGAAGGCAGGCGCACAGAAGCAGGCAGGTGGGTGAATGTAGCTTGAGAGCTTGTAGAAGTTACATGTTTATTTTAATATGTATTTGGTAAAATAACTAGTATATGAAACCTGTCATTTTGTGGATGCTCTTGCAAAGTGGAGAAAAAATATTAAGTAAATAATAGTAGGGGTGGTATATAGCACAAATGAAGATCACACTTCAATGTCTGAATTTTGGGAAACACTATTATAAGCACGGTCAGGAGTATGTGGGTGACTGGAGGCAGGGAGAGGATCTGGGAGGTCAGAACTATTTTCTGGGTAAGAGATGAAGGTCTGAGCTGTGAAGTGACTGTGGAGGTGGAGAGAGGAAACAGACATGAATGAAAATCAGGATGTGGTATTGATAAGACTTGGTGATTAGCTATGGGGAGTGAAGGAAGACACTCGGTTTATTGATATGAGGCTGAGTGGATGGAATTCCCAGACACAACGACAGGGCCCCCCTCAAGGAAGAGGAGCAGGTGTAGGGCAGAGATTTTATTCTTTTGGGTGAAGAGACAAGAGAAAGGTCTGAGGAACAGCTGGCTTCCCAAGCCTTCACCAAGAACAAGGGCCCTTGGACATGCTTGGGGGGAACTGACAAAATCCAGTGAGACAGATAAGGCAGGCCCTGCCCTGGGAGAGCTCCTGCTCTGGGGTGATAAAAGTATTCAGACAGTGTTAGAGGAGGGCTGATGCTGTGGATATTGAATGCTTCCTGGAGAAGAGGACCTTCAAGGTTTATGAGATGGTGGCAGATGAAGGAGGGAGAGAGCACACAGCCTTTGGGAATGGGTAGGGAGCATGTGGGGTGTGCTGGCAAGGGTGGAATACTGGAGCCTCGAATGCTTTGATTATGGTGTGAGTCTTTGGCTTAAGCTTGATAGGCAGGACTGGGAAGGTGGATGGAGGTGTGTGGTGGTAAAGCTCTGAGGTTAATCTGGGACTGGATCTGGGAGGGGTCTGAGCTGGGGCTGGGGCGGGGTGCAGGTTTAGTTTGGGTCAGAGAACTCCCACCTCCTGTGACTGCCCTCATGGTCTTTCCCAATACCCACAGGCAACAGGACCTGTATCGAATCCTGAAGGCCTACACTATCTACCGGCCTGACGAGGGCTACTGCCAGGCCCAGGCCCCAGTGGCTGCAGTGCTGCTCATGCACATGCCTGCTGAGGTCAGCAGACTCTGGTCCTGGTTGGGGAGGGGCTGGGAAGATCTTGGCCTACACTGGTGATGGGGGAGCTCTCTGCTTACTGTTTCTCAGGCCTCATCCCTCCTTTCTTGTTCTTGCCTTTCTCAGCAAGCCTTTTGGTGCCTGGTGCAAATCTGCGACAAGTACCTCCCCGGTTACTACAGTGCAGGGCTGGTGAGTGTCTAGAGACTGGGTGCAACTGGGGCAGTGACTTTTACCCAAGGTCCTTGTCCTGCCCAATCCTGTGTCCTTCTGTCCCTCTCCTCTGGGCCTCTCCCACTGAGGTGAGGATCCCCTACCAGGGCCATTTCTATCCCAGGTGGGTACAGCAGGCATCTTTTCATGGCTCGTCCCATTTCCAGGAGGCCATTCAGCTGGATGGAGAGATCTTTTTTGCACTGTTGCGCCGGGCCTCCCCACTAGCACATCGGCACCTGCGGCGGCAACGCATTGACCCCGTGCTCTACATGACAGAATGGTTCATGTGCATCTTTGCCCGCACCCTGCCCTGGGCTTCAGTGCTGCGTGTCTGGGATATGTTCTTCTGTGAAGGTACTTCTGTAGCCATTCAGGCCGTGAGGGGACTGGGGTTTCCATGCGGGCTGCTAGAGGGTGGCCCCCTGACACTGTTGGGCCTTGGCTTCACTGTAAGCCGGCTGGGGGGCTAGAGAAACTGAGGTCTGGTCTTGGCTCTGCCACCAACCCAGAGTCTGCTCTCCCTCCCCGGAACCTGAAACCCATGGCAGCTCATTTCCCTTCTTGGGGCCTCAGTTTCCTCATCTGTAAAGTTGGCAGTAGACAGGGATGACAGCTATGAGTCCCTTCTAAATGGGACCGGCTGAGATCTCAGGCCTGGTCACCCATGCTGTCTTCTCTCTGATCCTGCAGGCGTCAAGATCATCTTCCGGGTGGCCCTGGTGCTGCTGCGGCACACGCTGGGCTCAGTGGAGAAGCTGCGCTCCTGCCAAGGCATGTATGAAACCATGGAGCAGCTGCGCAACCTGCCCCAACAGTGCATGCAGGAGGACTTCCTGGTGCATGAGGTAGGCTCTGGCCTTAGCACACTTCACACCTGCTTCAGCCCATCCCCATCCCCATCCTCATCTTCATTCTGGTACTCATTTCTTCTCCATCTAGGTGACCACCCTCCCAGTGACAGAAGCACTGATTGAGCGAGAGAATGCAGCCCAGCTCAAGAAGTGGCGGGAGACCCGAGGGGAGCTGCAATATCGACCCTCACGGCGACTACATGGCTCCCGGGCCATCCATGAGGAGCGCCGGAGGCAGCAGCCACCCCTTGGCCCCTCCTCCAGCCTCCTTAGCCTCCCTGGTCTCAAGAGCCGTGGCTCCCGGGCAGCTGGAGGGGCCCCCTCCCCACCTCCTCCTGCCCGCAGGGCCAGTGCTGGGCCTGCCCCAGGGCCTGTGGTCACTGCTGAGGGACTGCATCCATCCCTTCCTTCGCCTACTGGCAATAGCACCCCACTGGGTCCCAGCAAGGAGACTCGGAGGCAGGAGAAGGAGCGGCAGAAACAGGAAAAGGAACGTGAGAAGGAGCGGCAGAAACAGGAGAAAGAGCGGGAGAAACAGGAGAAGGAACGGCAGAAGCAGGAGAAGGAGCGGCAGAAGCAAGAGAAGGAGCGACAGAAGCAAGAGAAGAAGGCCCAAGGCAGGAAGCTTTCGCTGCGTCGAAAGGCAGATGGGTCCCCCGCCCCCCAGGATGGTGGGGACAGGTCCTTGGCATCTGAGGCCCGGCAGGATGCTTACTTCTGACCTCTGCCCTGGGGCTGGACTGCATGGCCCCCTTCCTCCCTCAGCCAAGAGCAGGCCTGGCCTGGGGTGCTGCCTTCAGCTCCCTTGCCATGCTGTCCGTCTTTCTGAGGGGAGTGGCTTGATTCCCCATCTCCTTGCCAGCTGCTGATCCCTGCACAGCCAGGACAGTTGGAGTGCATGGGGCAGCTGCATTTCCCTGGGGCAGCCGTGAACAAGTCTAGAGCCCCTCACCTCCAGTTAGGCCCAGCTTGGGTCTCTGTCACTCCTGCCCCAATTCCCTCTGGGGTCCCTTCCCAGGTGCTGTCCTGATTGGCCTTTTGTCACTACAGGGTGACTCTTGGCTATGGGTGTCAGCAGTTTTCAGATTCTCACACTCCAGTTTGCTCCTCTTACCCATGAAGTGGAGCTGGGTTCCTTTTTCCCTTCTTCAGTCCTGCCTGTCTCCCCCACTTCCTGGCTGGGGGCTAAGGCTCTCCTCATTCTATTTTTGACATCTCTGTGTTATTGATATACAGAGGACCTGGTTGGCCCAGGGTGGGGGTGCTCATTTTATCTTCTGTCCTTTGGTTCTCCTGCAGTGTTCTTGCACTCTGGTTTATTTAAGGGGGGACATGCACTGGAACAGGAAATGTCCCTCACTTCCCACCCACCACCCTCCTTGCTCTCCTTCCTCTTCACCCACCTTCCTCTGTATTCTCAGGCCTCCCCTGCTTTGTCTCACCAGGGTCCTCACCTTTCACCTATTCCCTTCCAACCCTCCAGCCTCTTATCTGGGTAAGGGGCCTGAGCTCCAGGGGGTGGAACCCAATGTTTACATTCTCTTCTGTCTCTGCCCCCACCCTGTGTGGCGCTTTGAGGAACCAGAAAAGAACCTGCTGTTGTACCTGGGCCTGTCTCCTGCTTTGTTATTTGATGACAGGGGTTAGAATAAGGACTAGGGAGGGACAGAGTGAGCCAGAACCTGGGTGTCTACTGAAGCAGCTGGCTGGTCTTGGCAGGTAGGTGCCTCTTGACCTTTGATCCATCTCTCAGTCACTCATCAACAAACAATGGTTAGGCTCCTGCTTCACCTTTACCTGGGATCTGCTGCCTCCATTGTTACTGGCCTGGAATCCTCTGCACACCACCTGCAGTGCCCAGAACTCCTTCCCAAAACGCTCGTGCAACTCCTGGAAGCCGGAGGGGCACTCAGGGTGGCTAGAAAGCCATAGTCCTCTGTGAGTGAGCTGGGCTCTTGGCCAGCAGCCTGGCACAGCTCCTGGTATTGGGCCTCCAGGGCAGGTAGCAGCACAGCCAGCTGCCTCCAGCTCACCACTTGGAGCCAGGCTCCAAGTTCTTCCTGATTTTTTGCTGTTTGTAGACCCGCCCACCTTCTGTGCCCTCTACCCTGGGAGTCAGGATGGTAAAGGCATAGGGTTCTGTGGCCCCACGGCATGGCTCCACCTGGTAGTTCTCCAAGAGGATGAGGCCTAGGGGTGTGCGGTTTGGTGCTCCAGGTAGAAGAGATTTTCCCGAAGGATGAACGAGCAGTACTGGTAGTGGCATTTCAGGTCCACTCATTTAGCAAGATGCCTTCTTGGTTTGGAGCCTGTGCTCTGTACTCACGGAAGACACTGAGCACAGACTTTCGGTGCAGTTTCATAGTAGTCCAATCTGGGAGGAAATCCTGCGGGCAGTAAAGAGGGGAAGGTCTGTCTTGTTACCCAGGGGATGCCCATGCTGCCCTCCTCTGGCTCCAGTAGGCTCCTCCTGGGCACAGCCTTAGCCTAGTGGGAGTCAGACTCTGTGTCCTCAGGAGCTGGAGGTCCTGTCCCCGCAGCACTGGGACCCACTCCTCCCATCTCCCAACCCCAGCTCTGCCCCTTGCGCCAGATAACCTGGGCAGACGATGCTGGGCTGGGGCCGTTTGCTAAGAGGAAGGCTTTATCCTGCGGCTTTGGTTCAAGAAAGAGAGGCACTGTTGCCCTTCTCCAGGCCTACCTGATGGCACAAGGGGCTTCTGGCCTGGGTAGTGGGCACAGGTATCACTGCCACTCTCCAGTGATGGCTCTTCCCATCTCAGAACTGGGAATCCAGGGGCTTGGCGCGGGGTAAATGACTTTCCCTGGGTCCTAAAGGGAGCTGGTTTCGGAAAGTGTCCCAAGAGCAGTCGGAGGCCTCCAGGCGGGCCATCAGGAGAGCCGGGCTTCCCTCAGGGAGAAGAGCAAGGCGGCACTTCGGACCGGGAGAGGGCACACAACTGGACGCTAAGAGTGGTAAGGGAGGATTTCTGATGAGATGGTGATGGGCGCAGAGCCCTTGGCCAGTCACCTTTGATGACTCAACACTAGAAAGGGAAACTAGAGCAGTAGCCCACTGGTTACTCGGACTTTGCTCCTCCATCGTGACCCGGGGTGTCACTTTAAGTAGAGCGTTCCACTTTCACCCCAGAGCCTCTACTGCTGTAAGAGGGAATCGAAGCCACTTCCGGATACTCCTCTCTTCCGATCGTGGTCTAGACGTTCACACGTCCCCTCTTCTCGCCATTGTGGCCCCACACGGGTCACGTCACTTCTGGGAGGGAGGTGTTTCTTCGCCCACCACCCCGGCTCATCGCGCACTTCCGCCCGCTCTTCCAGTTAGTCCTCTAACCCGAGTGAAGCCACTTCCGGCGCCCGCCGCAGTTCTCTTCCGGGTGATGGCGGTGGGTGGCCCGGATGTAGCCCTGGTGAAAGCATCTTTCCTTTTGTTACCCCGCCTCCCGTGGATCCTTAGGTGAGCGCGTACCGGTGGCTCTGCTGCCTCCCTGGTTTGTACACATAGCCAGGGACAGTTAGGAGTCACCCCGTGGAGTTGGGAATTCGGCATGGGGAGGAGCAGGGCGAACAGGGCGCCAGGTCCTGCGTCCGCCCGGGCCCCGCGGGCTCTGAGGGAGCCGGGAGTAGAGAAGTGGGTGTCGCCCGGCGGAGCCCCGTCGCGCCCAGGACTGCGGCGTCCGGAAATGGGGATAGTCACGTGGGGGAGCCTGTCTCCTTTCGTCAGGGGTCGGGGCGCCCATGGGGAGCTCTTGCGCGCGTCCGCCTCTCCTTCCCCTCCCCAGCAACTCTTTCACATGGCAAAACAAGTCCCGGGAGCCTCCTGACTGCTAACATCCCTTTTGGCCCCTGATTCTGTGCTTCCTCCCCTCTCAAACTGGATATAGTACCAGGTGAAATATCTCTTGTGCTAGGGGCCCTCTCTCGGTGAGTATCCTAGCCCAGTTCCCTTAATCTGCTCCCTTTCCCTCGGCTCAGCTTGGGGAAGGCCCCTCTGTCCAGTCATGCCAAAGAGGAAAGTGACCTTCCAAGGCGTGGGAGATGAGGATGATGAGGATGAAATCGGTGTCCCTAAGAAGAAGGTGAGGGGGCTAGACTCCTGCGTTCTGGGGAGAGAAAATGAGGGGAGAAAAAAGGAACTAGAAACCAGAAGAAGAAAAAAGCTGGAGGAACAAAGAAAGGGTGGAAAAGGCTAGCTTTTCTGTGTTCTCTGAGAAATGGGTTTGGAGGATTTTCAGTTTCAGTCCAGATGCTAGACTGTTTTGAGGAATAGCCACTAACGTGCATCTCTCGACTTGCTGGCTCCTGCTCACAGCTGGTGGACCCTGTGGCTGGGGCAGGGGGTCCTGGGAGCCGCTTCAAAGGCAAACACTCTTTGGACAGCGATGAGGAGGAGGATGAGGAGGAAGGTTCCAGCAAATATGACATCCTGGCCTCAGAGGATGTGGAAGGTGAGCTGTACCCAAGAATTGACTCTCTGCTGAAGGAACAAATGGGAGTTTTGGAGGATATGTGGTGAGGGAGGCTCCTCTTTTTTGCATGCCTAGCGTGGGACACCTGTGTCTTTGATGCAGGTCAGGAAGCAGCCACACTCTCCAGTGAGGGAGGTGTGCGGATCACACCCTTCAACCTGCAGGAAGAGATGGAGGAAGGCCACTTTGATGCTGATGGCAACTACTTCCTGAACCGGGATGCTCAGATCCGAGATAGCTGGCTGGACAACATTGACTGGGTGTGGCCCAGGGGCTGGCATGGCTGGGGCCTGGAGGCAGCAAGTGTGCTGGCCTTGCGTTCTGCTGGCAGTTTGTAGGAAATAAATCCTCCTATTCTCACATTACAGGTGAAGATCAGGGAGCGGCCACCTGATCAGCACCCACTGTCAGACTCAGAGGAAGAGGACAGCCTGGGCCAGACACCAATGAGTGCCCAAGCTCTCCTGGAGGGCCTTTTGGAGCTGCTGTTGCCAAGGGAGACGGTGGCTGGGGCACTGAGGCGTCTAGGGGCCCGAGGAGGAAGCAAAGGGGGCAGCAAAGGGCCTGGGCGGCCCAGTTCCCCCCAGCGCCTGGACCGGCTGTCTGGGTTGGCTGACCAGATGGTGGCCCGGGGCAACCTTGGTGTATATCAGGAGACAAGGGAACGGTTGGCCATGCGGCTGAAGGCATTGGGGTGCTGGACCCAGGGAGCCCCTGACCCCACACCCCCACCCTCTCTTGACATGTTTGCTGAGGAAGTGGCAGAGGAAGAGCTGGAGACCCCAACCACTGCCCAGAGAGGAGGTAAGGTTGAAGGGCCGAGGAAGGGTGTTGTGGGCAGGGGGCAGGGCACTTAAGGCCCAAATGGCTTTGCCTCTTATCTTAGAAGCAGAGTCGCCTGGAGATGGTCTGGTGGATGTGATGTGGGAGTATAAGTGGGAGAACACAGGGGATGCTGAGCTGTACGGGCCGTTCACCAGCACCCAGATGCAGGTAAGCCCCTTCTACTTTGTTCGGCCTCTTCTTTCCCTCCCTTATGCTGTCAGTTCTCTCCCAGCTCTGCCCTCTCTTCCTGTAGACCTGGGTGAATGAAGGCTACTTCCCGGATGGTGTTTATTGCCGGAAGCTGGACCCGCCCGGTGGACAGTTCTACAACTCCAAACGTATTGACTTTGATCTCTACACCTGAGGCTGCTGAGGGCCCGGTTTGGTGGCCCCTTCTTTCCTGGACTCTGTGGAGGAGGCCCCACGTGCCTCAGGCAGTGAGGATATTGGGGGCCACTTTTCAGTCAATTTTCCTTTCCCAATAAAAGCCTTTAGTTGTGTATTATGGCCTTGGCTGTGCTGAGGGCCAAAAGCCTTCTTCACAGCTCCTGTGGACTCACCTCCATCCTTGAGTGTTTCCTCGTGAAGTTCCTCCTTGGGAGTTTCTGTTCCTTTGAACCACTTCACCTTTGTTTACTGCCTATGGGCAGAGCCAGGGCTGTCAGGTGGCCTGTGGTCTCTCCACCTGGACTCTGCTCGTCATCTAAAAATCCTTCAATTCACCTGAGGTTCTCCGATATCCTCTGGGGGTTCCTGTGTTGCTATTCTGAGGTCTTTAGACTTTTAGGACCTTAGAGTCTCTTTCTTTGCAGCCAGTACAGCATAGAGCCCCGGAAATGGAGATTTTAGGCCTGGAAGGGCTGGGACATCTGTTAGGGGTAAGCAGGAAGCCTGCTGTTCACTACCTCTCCACTGTCTCTAGCTCTTTCAGTGAAGTGCAGACTCAGCGTTAGCACTTGAAGGATCCTCCAAGGCCACCTGGGCTAACCATGCATTGAACAGGCACAGAGAGGGGCAGTGCCTCGCTGGAGGTCACACAGTGAATCAGAGGGCTGGCCCAGACCCAATGGGCTCCCTTCCCAGACCTTTCTTGGCACCAGGCCTTTTCTGCCTGGCTTTTGAGGCCCTGAAGCTTAGATTTCTTGGCTCCCACAGTGTGCCTGGCACAGAGTTAGTGCATTGAGGGAACTGAGGTAACTGGGCTGGTCCCCTTCCAGGAATTCAGAGTCTGGTGGCAATTGGCAGGGAGACAGACAGGTATAATTGTATAGTCTGGACCTAACGCTCCCCTACCTCCCACCAGTGCTGCTGCCAGTATGCCTCTCCTCACTGGCACCAAGTTAAGTTCATTCTTCCACTTTCCCATCTTGGCTGTCCCTTGGAATCTCGTGGGGAGCTGTAAAATTACTCCTCAGAAATTCCAAATGAATTGGTCTAGATAGTGGCCTGGTGGTTGGGTCTTTTAAAAGCCCCCAAGTGTTTCCAGTGTTTGGCCAGGTGGAGAACCACTGGGCCTGACTCCCATGACTGAGGTTCCACCTGGGGAGAGGGGCTGCTTCCTGGACATTGCTGTGGTAGCAGAGCTGAGCATGTATGTGGCCAGGGCTCTGGGGAAGTCTGTTTGTTATAGGAGCCAGAGCTGTGGGACACATGGGAGCGCCAGAGTGGAAGGAGCCAGGCTGGGAACTAGGAAAGACTTGGGGGCAGGGTGGGGATATTTGATTCTCTGTGAGGTCTCCCACCTTATGTATAATTAGGCCCACTCTAGTGCTAGTCCAGACCTGGTTTTCATTGATTCTTAAGATGCCTTCGGTTGTTAAGATATCTTACTTTGTGTGTCACTAAGAAAGAAAAGCCCACCAATTACAAATATAAGATGTCATTGATTAAAAGGTACAACATTCTGATTTCAGAAATGTTCAGCACTGAAAAGCAGATCTCTTAGGACCAGTAAAATACAGTGTTCACCTTTGTGTCTGCAGTGACTGACTCATGGGAGGTGCCTCGTGTTTGTTGAATAGATGGAAGCCAAGGGGGCAGTTCCCCTGCATGTCCCATAGGCACCCCAGGTTCCACCTATCCAAAGCTGACCTCACTTTCTCATAGTCTCCTGTGTTCATCTCCCTCATGGTACCCTGTGTGTGCAGAGTAATGGCCCCCAAAGACGTCCATGTCCTTAACCTCAGAACCTGTGAATATGTGACCTTACATGGCAAAAGAGACTTCACAGATGGGATTAAATCAATGATTTTGAGATGGTGGGATCATCCTGGATTATTGAGGTAGGCCCAATGTAATCACAAGGATCCTATAAAGTAAAAGGGAGTCAAGAGGGTCAAAGTGAGAGAGGGAGGTGAAGATGTTGCTGTTGGCTTTGAAGATAGAAGAAAGGGCCATGTCCCGGGGAATGCAGTGGCCTGTAGAAGCTGGGAAAAGCAAAAAACTGATTCTTCCCAGAGCCTCCAGAAAGAAATGCAGGCTCACTGAGGATTTTAGCCCAGTGAAAATCATTTTGGACTTCTGACCTCTAGAGCGTTAAGATAATAAAGTTGTGTTGTTTTAAGCCACTAAGTTTATGGTCATTTGTTAACAGCCCCAATAGGAAACTAACACGGACCCCATCCAGCTGAATGCCTCTCCCCCTCATGAACATCATTAAGTTCTCTGCATGTGGCCATGTCCCCATCTCAAGTCCCTATCAGCATTTAACTCCCTTGCCTTTTCTTAAGCTGTATGTATATATATGTGTATGTACATGTATATAATTTTTATTAAGTAAGCTTTTTGTGTTTTACAATAGTTCTGTAGATTTGCAGAAAACTTACAAAACTAGTCCAGAGAATTCACCCAGTTTCCCCTATTGTCAGCATCTTTCAGTGGTACATTCATTACAGCTAAAAAGCAATATTATACTGTTTTTAAGCAGCTTTATTGAGATATAACCCACCAGTGGTTTTCAGTGCGGCCATCACTACAATCTAATTTTAGAACATTTTTGTCTATCCTAAAAGAAACTCTACCCGTTAGCAGTCCCTCCCTGTTGCTCCCCAGCCCCCCTTACCTTCCAGACTCTGGCAACCACTAACCTCCTCCCTGGCTCTGTAGATTTGCCATTTCTGGGCATTTCGTACAAATGGAATCGTAACGATATGTGCTCTTTTGTGTCTTATGTGTCTGCTTCTACTTCGCATGTTTTCAAGATTCATCCATGTAACATGTAGCAATACTTTATTCTTTTTTGTTGTTGAGTAATATTCCATTGTATGGATACATGGTGTATTACTATTAACTAAACCTCATACTTTATTTGGATTTTACTAATTTTTCCCTAATGTCCTTTTCATGTTTCAGAATCCCTTCTAGAATACTACATTACATTTAATTGTCATGTCTCCTTACCTTCCTTGGTTTCTCAGACTTGTTTTTGCTGACCTTCACAGTTTTGAGAAGTACTGGTTGGGTATTTAGTAAAATATTCCTAAAATTTGGGCTCGTTTGGTATTTTTCTCATGATTAGATTTGGACTATATGTGTTTGGGAGGAAGACCACAGAGGTGAAGTCCTTTGCCTTTTGCTGAAAACCTTTAATGGCTCCCCGTTGCCCTTAAGATAAAATGCAAAAGCTTGAAGCTGACTGAGAAGGTCTTCCGTGGGCCAGTCTGAGCCAGCCCCTTCAGCTCCACGTCTGCCTTGCTTTCCTTTTCGCTTCTGTCTCCCTACTCCAGGCTCCACCCTGCTCCCAGAACAGGGCAGATCATTGCTCTTCTCCAGGGCTGGCCAGTGATGCCTTTCTCTCTTTTCCGTCTATCTGGGAAAGACCAATTAACGGATCTGTTGTGACTTGGCTGTAGGCCTCCCTTTTCCTAAACTCTTCCTCACCCCCACTCCCAGCTTCCAGGCTGGTCATCGTTTCTTCCGGTGCCCAATAGCACCGATGTCTGACACACCTAGAGCAGTTTCTCCTGGATCTGTCTCCATCAGTTAGCCGGAGGCAGGGGATCAGTGTTGATGAATGAGTAGGGAATGAGCCAATTTTTTCCTGTTCCTGTGTGTCAGGGGGACAATCCCTTCCTGAGCCAGACTGGAAACTGGGGGCCTGTGGGGCTGTTTCTCTTTGCTGCCCCAGAAGGGGTGAGGTGTGACCTGGATGGGCAGCATACAGTTGTCTAGACCCAAGAGTCTCTCAGAGGGCGGGGCTGAGGGTCATTAGAGTCTTTCTAACTCCTGGGGGTGTCACTGAGCCAGGGGAAAATTTATAGAAGGGGCCCGAGGACAAAGCTGCAGATGTCATCACTGCATCCAGGATACCAGACCCTCTGAAATGCAGCCTCTTGCCTTTGGCAGGCCATTTTCCAGAAGAGAAGCAGGAGTGGGGAAGGGGAGTCTGGGCGCTCCTGGTTGAGGCCTGGGGTGCCACACTCTGCCCTGGACATCTGGTGGGGTCCTGGGGGAGACGAGGAATGTGGGGGAGCCCAGAAAGGGGTCAAAATAAATGAAGGGTCAGGCTCCACAAAGCCTGTGGACTTTGGGGGTGTCTTATGCCTTTGACACATCTGCTGCCCCTTGCAGACCCACCCAGCTGGCTTGATGACTCTTTGCGTAGTCACTAAACCCCAGACTCCCAGGCAGCGGGCAGACCTGAGACTGGCAGCTTGCTTTCCACTCTCTTCCAGCCAGAACCAAGCTGGAACCCTGCAGATGTCCAGCTCTTCCTGATGCTGAGACTCAAGAGGAATTTCATGCAAGTGAATTTAGAAGCAGATGTTTTGTTCAGGGCCCAAGACAGGATAATGTTCAAGTCAGTAGTTATTTCAGAACAACCCATGGAGGCCGGGCTGCCCTTTGGTCCTTTTCAGCCCTTCCCCAAGGTCAAGGGTGTGCTCTTCAGTGGTAGGTTCCGTGGCTCCCAGACCACCTCAGCCTCCTCTGGGTGTCTGTCCCAGCACACATCTCCAGTTGGCTGGCTGCAGGCTGCTGCTACCCTGTCCCTACCAGACCCCTGTTCTCCAAGAGGCTTGTCTGGCCCAGCCTGCCCTTTATGTAAACCACTTCTATCTGCATAAACACTGCGAGTGACAAGCCTGTAACATCCAGCTGCAAACGCTGATGCTGTTTGAGATTTGTTCCGGCAGCCTCTGGTTTTCCTGTTCTGATGCTATCATCCTTGCTCTCACTTTCCTGTTCCCCACCCACTACCTGACATATCTCTGCCCTGCTGCTCTCAGTGGTGTCAGGCTCTACAGCTCCAAGGCCCGGTTTTGGACAGATTTCTCTGTCTCAATCTCTTCATACTTGCTTGGAAACAATGTGAGCATTTACCTTCTGGCCTAAGGCACTGCTGCCTCTTATTAGCCTAGTCTTCCCAGGCTTAAGACATAGTACCCTCTCTATTTGACAAAGAGAAGAGGAGGCAACTGGAATGTCTTAAGTATCTAAACAAGTTAAGAATGTTATGTTTAATTTTCCAGACTACCTACTATTTCGTTACATATTTTCTCCATTTTGCTGATGAGAAAAACGAGGCTGAGAGGTGAGGCAAAGTAACCTGCCCAATGTCACACAGCT